GGACTCTGTGGAGCCATGTGTGAAATAATGTCCCATTTCCTGAACCACTCTTTCACAATAAGAGCCTGGCATTAGAACATGTCTGTGCCATCAGGGAGAAACYATCATTGATGAATAAAACCAGGTTATTCTGAGCTGAACCTGGACCTGACCTGCAGCAGCCTCACATCACACACCTTAGTCACATGCAGGTGGACACCGTGTGTGTTGGCTGGACAGTGTGTGTTATTCACTAATGGACCTAATTTAAAACTTAATCAGGACCTGTTGTTTTTGTCCTGATCCATAAAACCATTGAACTGAAGGATTACTTRATCTGTTTCCTCCTGACTGTAAGGTGACAGAATGAACAAATGTAGCTGCAGATAATAAATAATAGTTATTATCATCGTTGGCACACAACACATCCTTCAAAGAAGAGATCAGTCTCCAGGTGGAGTCTCTGTACAACAARAAGTGGTTTTATTAGAAAACATATGAGGAGCTGTGCTCAAAATCACACAACTTCTTCAAATTTAATGGCAGGAAGTCTAGAGAAAAATTACAGCATCCATTGACAAATATTTCCAAGCAATAAATATGCATTTATAAATAGTGTCACTTTACATGAAATAAAAGAAACAAGTACAAATTTAATTTACTCTTGTCCATGTGCAACCCTTTTTCTGTGACTCGTCTGTTTGTCGACAACTCTTTTCTCTCAAAGACTCAGACGTCCAGCWAATCTAAATTAATTTTTAGAAAGTGATTAAAAAACAAAAACATGATGTTTTTCACACTAAAAGTGTTTTTAAATGGATTGGGTGTGAACAAAGACCTGCCATGGTAATCATCTCATCAGGGAATAAAAGCACTGGTGTTGACCCACAAACTGGAAACTAAAAAGAATAAAAACTAATCCAGTAGTCTTTGTGTGCTGGTGCCAGTCTGAATGGGATWTGTACAGAACCTGGTGTGTTTGTGTGTTCAGATGAAGTCCAGCTGGGCCAGCAGTGGAACAGTCTGGTCATGATGAATGGAGGAGCTGCTGTTCCCCTCCGGTCCACTGGGGGGCAGCACAGCACTGGGGGCAGGTTGCATAGACACACAGCTTTCACACAGCTGCCTGTGGAGAGCTACAGGGCTGCCTCCTCATGTCCTGAATATCAGGAAACAAGGAGACAACAGTTTGTGATTGAGCCCGTTGTGGTTGTGTAACGTCCATCAGGAGGGAGGCAGGGGGCTCGCCTGTGGACAGGAAGCACAGTGGTCAAAGAACTACAGGTCCAAGACTGCACAACCTGCTGCTGGACTTAAAACAAACATTTAGTTTTAAAGGAGAACACAACTCTTCACATAAATCACGTTTTATGAAACAAAAACACATAAAATACCTTAAAGCTTTACGTAGCTTAGATGGATGATCCATTACGTAGAATTCAGTATAAACTGTTTGAAGAACTCATAGTTTGATTTTTACAGAAAACGTTTTGATCAGTCTAAAGAAATATAGTTTACGTTTGACTGACAGGTGAGCTGTCTGTCAGGATCATCAGTATTTATCAAACTTCTTACAGTAAATTTTTACATTAAGTCTAAGAATCAGTCATAAGGTGTATTCAGACCAGGAAAGTCCTTTGGTCCACTTGTTTGGTCCGGAACAAAACTGGACTTTATTTTTTTCCTTTGGTGCAGTTTACATTCACATTGTGTTTTTTTTACAAACAAACTATAACTTGTAAACAAAGCCATGAGGCTYACYATCATTGCTCCCATTGGACAGAAAAGGACGGGGCYGGACTGAGCCACAGACCCAGAAGAAAACAGGAAGTCCTGCATGTTGTGGTTCTGATGCACACATTTATGCTAATATTACAACTGTAATAGCATCTAAAATGTCAGAAGCAGCTAATTTAATGTGGTTCTGTGATGATATTCTAATTTTGGAGCGGAGTCAGTAAATGTGTCCCGCGACCCAAAGGAGACGAGGTG